CCACCCTGCAATCAGGTTCAGTTCTACCTTCTGGCTCCAGAACAGGAAAGGCACCTTGAGCAGAGCTAAGCAACCAGACTGGGGCTGGTACTATTTTTATTTATCTCTTTGTTTATCAGGAGCCTTTTTTCCCCACTAAACACATTTTTACTGCCTTGTCTCTAATTTATTCTATGTCAGAGATGAAGTACTAGATATTTTTTTCCTATTTGTGATGTGAGCCTTAAAAATTATAGATGATTCTATTTTCTGTGTAGATGTTATTGAAGAGTAACCAAGCTCAAACTCATCACTAGTCTGTAAATGTTCTTGGGGATATGGATGGGAATGATTACTCTTTGTGGATGACCTATAAAATTCCTCAAAATGTGGAATTGAAGATTTATATTCTTTTGTTGTACGTATTCTCTAATTTATTTTTACTAGTAATACTCTCTGGACATATGGACAAATAGAAACACAACTAAAAGCTTTTACTTGTAAATCAGTCTTTTAACTCTGTCCTTGTTTACAAAAATAATTTAATTTAACCAGGTTCCCAGTGTCATTGAATTATTAGAATTTCTACAAATATGTGTGTTGCTCTTTATGTTGAAAAGTAAGTCTTCTTTGTGGTCTATTTAATTATTAATTACTGTTGCAATATTTATCCACTTCTTATCCATGTTTCCTGTGTTTGTAATAAGCTCTGGTCTATCATTATGTATTTTATAACATGGAGGATTTGGAGATTTTCTTTTTCTGCATTAGATACCACACAAGCCCAAATTTTCAAATTTCTTAATTTCAGGTGCCTCCTTAAGCATCTAGTAAATGTCTGATCTCCCAGGAGTACTGAACAGTTAGCTGTAAGAATCAAATGCTTTTACAGTGACTGTTGTATGCAATCTTTTTGGTTTGTTTGTTTTCCCCCTTACTTCTTGTATTTCATATTGAGGAATTAGGAAATTAAACACTGGATAATTTTTTTTAGTCTTTCTCACATTTTTCTTTCTTTTTCTTTTTTTCTTTTCTTATCATCAAAATGAAATACTCTCCATATTCAACTTTTAAATTTGGAAATTAAAATGAAATGAAAAACCAAAATGAAACAGAATTCTCTCTGAAGTGACGTCATGAGTTATTCTTACATTTATCAAGGTTTTTGCTCTCTAAGCTGCAACTCTGTGTTCTGAAATGTTAACAAGATAAAGTTAAATCCTCTTTCCATTACTCTTAAAAAAGACAGGCATTTATGCATCCAGATTTTCAATATTGTGTATAAACAATTAGAAATGCAAATATACCCCTGCAGTTGTGGGTAATTTATAGCTGCAATTAACATAACTATGGAAAAGATAAAGATGGTGCTGCACTTACCAACTGTACCCAAAATTACCCAAAATCTGTGCAGGTTTTTTTTTTTTAATTGGGCAAACACAAGTTTTTTCCCATGTTGTAGACAGACATATCACATATTAATGTCCCCTGTTATCTCTCCTTTTATTAGCTGGACTCCAGATTTCAAGGAAACTTTTACAGAAAAATTTGTTTGTAATCCTGCTCCAATTATTCTAGGTGCACCATCATGTTTATGGTAAACTTTCCAATAATTTTTTTTCTAATGTATAAGTAAAACACAACTACTTTGGTTTCAGAAAGTACTATACCAAAGTTCTAGTGATTTGCTTATGAGTAATGGGGTTTTTTTCCCCTCTATCCTCCTTTATTTTTACCTCTGTTCTTCTTAACTTCCTTTTATCATTCAATTACCTGAAGGAAAACTGTTCCAAAAGCTCTTTCCTAGCATGATAGTCAGAAGATAACCTTTCAGCATAAAAATGAGATAAGCTTTTTGCAACTATATTTACACGTGGGGCTTTTTTCTGCTTTGGTAGTCAGAGAGCCATGTACAGGTCTAAAATCCCCTGGGCAGCAAATTCAGAGGAGGTTAAAAGACATAAAAATCCTTACAACTGTAATTTCAAAAATTATTGTCGCCTTTTGTTGGCTCTGATCAGCAGAACAGTCTAGAGACCAAGGTGAAAAAATTCATGTGCTCTGTGGTGACAGTTAAATGCAGGAGAGTAAACAGACATTTTTATGTCTTCCCTGAGCTACTGTTCAGTGTTGGAAGCACCTGGAATCTGTAGATAGTTCTCCTGCACCATGTGGTTTGAGATAAAGCAGAGTGTGATAATCCATAAAACTCAAAAAAATTACTGTTTCAAATCAAAGACTGGTATAGGAGCTACATAAAGAACGGGAAGATTAAAAACATAAACAAAAACAAAAGTTGGTATGTACAGTTCAAGATGAATTAGAAGGTTTGTGAGATACTGTAGAAAACTGTCTGTAGAACATAATCAGAGTGACATCCACTGCAGTGAGGGGGAGTAGCATTGTGGGCACAGAGCATGCAGGTGGAATATTCTAATTGCTAGAAATCAGTCACTGCTGTCTGGTGAAGGTAAACACATCCTTGGTGAGTCACTGCTAAACTGGGTGATTCTGAAACACAAGAAAGGTGAGGAAACACTGCTCTGCCAGGACGGTGTCTGTGTTTGTTAGGCCTTTGTGAGTAATGCTGCAAAGGGGCTGGGTTGTGACCTGGTCCTGAAGAATGTGGTCAAAGCTGAGGAAAGCTCCAAAGGCAATAGGGTTGCTACTTGTTGAAGAAATGATTCCTAAACAGAGCATTTGAAAGATACAGGACTGAAACCTGGTCTCAGTTCTATTTGTATAAAGTCCTTCAGTGATGTAAGACAGTTATTAAAAAAGGAAATGCTTTTTCCGAGTCACAAAAGCCGTGTCTGACTTTTTGTCCTTGTGCAATGGTGCATGTGAAAGAAGTTATTATCTGTTACCTCTGGAATTAAAAATACAGGCAAAACTGCAAGTCCTAAACACACCAATTATTAAAGTAAAACTTCAAAAGAAAAGAATCAAAGCTATTGGTGATTCCTTTTCCTGAATATAAAAGACTTTCTGTAAAATGACTGATTTTGCCTTTCATTTCAGTGGCTGTTTATCAGTGTTTGACAGCACCATTTTCATTATCAAGTTCCAGCAGACGGTAGCTTTGGCTCATCACCATGTCTCCTGGGTATTTCTTGGCCATGTGATCAAACAAGGCATATTTCTCAACTTAGCTCCTTTGATATCACATAAGGTATCATTCTTTGGAGTCATGTTCTAGGTTACAAGTTGACGAGAAAAAGGATTCAGCAGATGCAAAGCAGCATAGTTACCTTGACTTTGGCTTCAAGGATAAGATACTGCCTTGGAACCAATAAAAAATTAGGTAGTGCTATCCCTGTGGCTATCACTCTGTGTGCAGTTTCTGAACAGAATATCTTTTAGCTGAGGGGATATTTTGTAAGGGGAAGTTTAGAAAAAACCTGACTTAGCTCAGTATGTACAAAGATACTAATGAAAATCTACCTCAAGGTTATTTTGCTCATCGTAAATTCTCTTCCCATTACATTTGCTTTCTAAGGTTTTATACAGACTTAATTGTTGTCCTGGTTCAGCAAAGTACATACACATTCAAAGCACTGGAGCAATTCCTTGTGGAAAAAAATGTCACAAAGCTGTTGAGCTATTTTAGCTTTGTATCCACATGCATTCCAATTTACAACTCAAATGGGATCAGGAAGTGAAAATTATAGAAAAAACTTGATGGTTAAACTAAATGTTATATACGAGTTCTCAGTCCATCAATCCAAGTGGTTAAAAGTGTTCCACCTCTTATTTTGGCAAAGTTTGTGTGCTAATGTGATTCTGATGTGTTCTTATTCATGCTGGAAAAATTTGTAGCCCAAGCCATGCTAGATGTTGTAGAAACATGAGTTAAAGTAATTTGCTCTTTTATTTCTCTGTAGTGACTTATTCTAACTAACCAGAACAGAGTTCCTTGTTTTTTTCATACAAGACTACCATAAGAGCAATGCCAAACAAAATAATGAGAACTTCACAATGATAAACCTCCTCGTAGAGTTTTCGCTCCATGCACAGTACCCATAGTATAGGAACCCTAAGTAAGGTTTGCTTCACATAGACTTTCAACAGTGCAACTTCAAAGATAAGGAAAAAACCAAAAAAAGAGAAGGAAAGACAAGATCTACTTCTTTCTGCTGGGGTTAGATATAATTTGTCTTAAAAGATCTTTCCATCAATAATATTCCATTCATGTTTTGCAGTGAAGAATTGCGTAACATGTTCTTTGTTTGCAGTTCCTTGTTGTCTAAGAGGTATTTACTTGATAGCATTTTGTTGTTGAGGATGACTCGTATATTATTGGAAGAAAAAGAAAATCTATCAGGATTGTTCTTTGGCTTTAATAAAAAAGTAGCACGCAGAATATTACATGTTTCTCACTTCATAGGAGGGGTGTTATACAGTGCAAATTATTTCAAAATTTTCTTGCACTTTGTACAAGCAATTATTGTTTGAACATGTTCTTTTGCAAACTATTCTAGAAAGGAATAGTTGCTTGTATTACTCTGGAGCCACCAAACAAATGTTAAGGCTTATCTATTTAGACTGTTACTGTCAGAATTTTGTTCAGACAGAAATGAATAAAAGCTAAATAGTTGAAGGAATATAATTCATTTGTTGGACTATGTAGTGACTCCAAAGGAGTCACAGATCCATACATATAGCCCTCAATGGCAGCTTTTTAAGTTCACCTTTAAATTAGCTGGAAGATCCAAAGTCAAAAACAGGCTGCAGTGGGTACTTTGAGGAGTGCTGTGTATTTTACTTGACTGAATGAACCTAGGAAATATGCTGTTTGCATGGCAAGGAATCATCATAAGCTGCTTTCAGAGGTGTCTCTGTGAATGACTTGGTTGCTCAGGTACACCCAGAACATTCTTTGTCTCGGGAATTCTAAGATGAAGACACTAAAACAGTGGTGGTACAACTGAACAAAGGAATAACTAGATGATGGGATAAATTTGGGTCAGAAGTTCTTTCCTCCCCATTGTATTCAGATCTTTGTGTATGTGTCATATGGAGACATGGCTTTTCTGCTCCCTCCTGTGGAAATACATCCTGTGGAGATGTACAAGATGTGTTTGCTATGATCCTGTGTTGTTCTTGTTTAAGAGAAGGAAGGTCTGTGTTCTTATCCCACTTTGGTGTCCTGTTGTTAGCCTCTGTCCATCAGGTTCTCAGTCTGCAAAAAGAAAATGGTTTCATTTAGCCTAAATCTTGACATGTAGCCTAAAATTTCCTAAATAGCCCTGAAAGTTTGGCTATGTTGCCATCTGGTCTCAATTTTTGCTCTGTAGTAGAAAACAACCCTCAGAGATATGAAGGAATTATTTTTTTTACATTTTTTCTGCATGTATCAGGAGGGTGGGCTCTTATTTAAACATATATACACACCAATCTCATTAACTTTGACAAGTATTATAAACTGTAAATTACAGAGGACACAAGCATAATATAACCCTATGTCAGCTTTTTGTTGTTAAAAGAAATTTCAATAAATCCTGCATTGTGTGGGAAACTTTCTGAATCTAAACCAAAAATAATACTTGCTTATGCCCTTGGGAATCAATACTTCAGATTTTATGCAGCTCCAATTAAAACATAGCACACAACAGATACTTAGGCTCAAAAAACTCAAAGTTTTTTATATAGTACAGTATTCATCCTTCACTGCTGGCTTATTCATGAATAATGGATATTTTATTTGTTATTTAGATAAACAATTTTGTGTCTGCTCCACAATGTTCTGCTGTTTGTTCAAGTTGTCAGAAGTTGCCCATACTTCGTGAAGTTAAATAATAGTTAAAATTAACAAGTTGTTTTGGTATCTCCAGGAATGAATGGGAAAGCTAATGAGGGCAGAGCTTCTGAAGTATGTCTGCTTCCAGTTGCTGGGGTCAGCAGCAATTTTGGTATCACATAAGTGGACTTAACAATTTCTCATCTAGAATCCAAAATTTAAATACAGTTGCAGAGATAATGTCTCCATCTGTTTTCTCTTTGGTGGGGAAGGAAATTATGTCAACTATCTTCTGTCCATCTCTTGTTAAGCTTACATATACACTTTTTGCTTGCATGCCATAAAGCCAGAAGAAGCATATCAAACTGGATCTTCAAAATAAGTTCTGTCTCCTTTGCTCATTGAACTGTCCATAAAAATGTTAGTGAAGCTGTGTGTGCTGTTGTTAAATCACTTATATATCGGTCTAGCCTACGAATTTGGGATAATAAAGCAAGATTACTTTTTCAGAAACTCGTTAAACTTTACTGAGTTGTATTATACATGTAATAATTCTAAGTTTTCTACTGCAGAAGTAGAGATGAGCAGTTTGTTCCTCTGTAGTTTAACAGTTTATTTCGATGTATCTGGTTTTGTAACTGAGAAAGGAAGATGCATGTGATTCCTCTACAAGCTTCTGAAAACCTGGAGCTTGCAGAAGGTATGACTGCAGAGTGAGGTGAGGGCATGCCTGGATAATGAAACTGAGCCAGAATGGGCAGCAGGATCAGAATAGATATAAGGACAGGAATTTTTCTGGTGTGTGTCAGCAATTATGTTGAAAGCCCTGCACTGCAAAGGCTGGGGCTGCCAATTCCTTCTGTCTGTTGCTGCATTTTCGTTGTTGCCACCTCACACACAGACAGGAGCAGCACACACAGCCATGATCCATCTTTGGTTTGTTGTGGAGACATGGTTCCTACTGAAAAATTAACACCCCTAAATTTAGAGCTGCTTTGTGAGTGCAGAACTTCTCAAAGTTTGGCCCTACAATCCTTTGGGCTCTAATTCTGTAAAACAGGGTTAATCACAACAATTTTTTAACCTAGATTTTGAATTTTGAAGTCTTGGTGGCAGAGACTGCCTTTCATAGAGTTCCACTGTCAGAGAAAATATTGAGATGCCTCTTGATTAGATGTAATGAGTAACAATCACACACAACACAAATATGTCTTAAATGTTTCTAAATTTCTCTTCCCTTCAGCAAAGGGAAAGCATTCTCTCCCATGTTTATTTTATCTTTTGGGCTTTTTCTATTCTTATGGTTTGTTGGCAGGTGAAATGTTATTTTTTTTTTGCCAAATAAGTTTTACACTTCTGTAAATCAGGACATTATAGCTTCACAAAAAGTTTTTCTTTCTATTACTATTTTGTTCACATTAGTATATTCCAAGCATCTTTTAATATTTTCTTTCCTGCAGAGGAAAACCAAATCAAATCTACATGTTGTCACTCAGAGCAAATTGACTGGAAAATACCAGTTGCTGCTGTAGTTAAAAGTAACACTATGTTGTTATAGCAGTAAAGGGTAAAAAATCTGCAGAGTAACTGAAAAGTGTGTTTCATAAAGAGCTGCATGAAGTTATTTTTGCAAATGTCATTCAAAAAATGAGCCTGTACCCTTTCTTCAAATATATACCTGATTTTTCAAAACTCATTTATTATTAAAGTGGTAGCAAATAACTAATATGACTTATTAAAAAATGACTTGTTTTCATAAGAATTTGGAAATTATTATTGGGTTTGGTCTGATGCAATCAAGGTTATTCTAACTTTATGTGTCTGTTATATGGAGCAGAACTCTAGGAGAAACAAACATCTTATATTCTAATTGAATTGAACAAATGTATACAAGAGATTCATTTCTTTATTATTGCTTTTTTCAGGAATAGTTGTCATATCAGACACAACTTTTATTTCTTTTTCTCTCTGACAATTTCAGCTCTGCATCTCTGGGGAAATAAATCAGCAGAACATTGCCTGTGTTTTTTAGGAGCTGGAGTCTGTGAGAAAAGAAAGAAATGCAGTATTGCTTCTGCTGGTTTAGCCAGTCAAATTTATTTCTTTCACCAGTATTTTTTCTGATTCTTTGAAGATCTCTGTTGACCTACTATTCCTTCGGCTTTCTGGCGTGGAACAGACACAAAACACAGCATTGCAGCACAGAGGGGCCTTTGCTCCAGAAACCCTGTTGCTTTCTGTGAGGAGCATCAACTTTCTGGTTCGAAGGATGCACAAGCAGTTAAGTCAGCTGACGAAGGCTGCAGCTCACCCTGCTGGGCATATTACCCCTGAATTTCTCCTTGATACAGGATCATTTCAGCTTTACCCAGTGTTCTGTTTTATCTGTTTCACCTGACAGCTGCTCTGTTGATATTACACTTCCTGCCTATGTAAGGTCTCATCCTCTTTCCTCTGATACCAGCAATGGAAAACTCTGGCATTAAGGACCATACCCGTGATCTCTTCAGTGCTCTGGCAAGGCATGGCTGTGTAGTCAGATCAGATGATCCAGCTCTACCTGTGCTCTAAGTTAGAGGGATATGAGCCAGGTCTTTGCTTAAAGGAACAAGTAAGGTCACAAACAGGCATCCCTCATCCTTTCTCAGTGGTTAGATTAATGAGACTAACAGCTAACAATTCTAATAACTTTGAAATAGGTATGTGTCCCTGGCTGGAGCACACCACTTTCCCAGTTCCCAGGCAGAGAGAAGTGTGAGTTAGAATACTGCTTTGTAGACAAGGACTTTTCTGTTTCTGTTCTTGTCTAGTCTATATACTCTGCAGAGTCTTGTCTCGTTCTTCAGAAGGTTTACAGTTTTCTCCTCTTGGAAACAGGTAATATCAACATTTCCTGTTTTTTTTTAAGATGGATCTTGTTCAGCCACCCATTGCAATATAGCTTTTACTAAACTTCCTTCTGTTCATGCAGTAATTTTTTGGGTGAGAAATACCGATTATACTCAATTTGTGTTACTTTAGTTGTTGAATTTTTGTTCTTGAGTGAATACAAAAGTTAAGACCGTGATGCCTGGAGATGGACTCATTGGTGAGCTAACTCGCTTTGACAGTTTTTTTTCAATACACTTATGTAGAACTAATTGTATGGGGGGTTCTTGTTCTCTGGTACAAGTTTGCCTTCATTCATGACAGCTGACAGCATGATGCAAAATGTCAGGAATAATTAGTCAACACTTGCTAAAATCTTCCTGAGAGGTCATTGGTCATCCAAAGCAGCCATGCAAGAAAACACATAAGCACATTGTCACTAAGCTTTGGGGAATAAAGTGCTAAAGTAATCTGCAAAGATACATAGCCTATTTTACTATACATAGGGGATGCCTTTCAGTAGCCTCAATTCCCTTGAATCTGCTTCATGATTTTCTTAAAACACTTTTAGTCTCATGGGCTTAAGTTCTGCCTTCTCTTTTACCACTGACTTGTTGTAAACAATCTTGATGCTAAAGCTTTTTTTTTCTCTTGTGTTTTTTTTTTTTTTTGAGAATGCATCTGGCACTATTGCTTGATAGGATGAAAGAATTCCCAGGGCAAATCTATGCATGTGCAAGTTTAAACTTTGGATTCTGTGATCATTCATACTACTGACATTTCATTCTGTTCAAGTTCAGGGAAGTTCTATTTCAAATACAAAAGCAGGATGAGAAAAGATCGGAGGAGAACTCATCTAAAAGCTGAGATGAATGGCCTTACACCCACTTGTAATTGTACAGCACCAGCTTTAGGTAATAGGGTGTTACGTTTTTGCATTTATAAAAGGATAATTGGCTATTCTATTTCTATCAAATACATTTTGAATACTGAGTTCCACTTGACAGTTATGAATTTACAGCTGTATGAGTCCACCTGTTCCTATTTTTTTTCCTGACAACAGCAAAAATTGGACTAGAAAGGTTCTCAAAAACTTAATATTTGCCAGATCTTTGAACTCAATCTTTTTCCACTGCTGCAATAATTTAAAGGGAAGGTAAAAAATAGCTGTATGTCCTCCTTATATTGTCCTCCATCTTCTACTTTTTTAGTCCTTGCAAAGGATTTTGAAGCCTTTAGATGCTGCTACTGTCTCTGTTAAGACATTCTCCTGGCCAGTTTTTTCTGGGAGAGTCAAGTGATGCCCTTGGATGTTCTGGGCTAAAAGAAATGTCCATGTGCTTCCTGAAACCAGCCACCCAAAAGGCTGTTGTACTGGACAGAATTGAAGCAAAGGAGATTTTGTTAAGACTGTTTGATTGCATCCACTTTAGAGATTGCAGTGATAAAATAGTTTGTCAAGAACAGTTTGTTATAGTGGCAGCACCAGAGAACAATCCAGATACTACCTATAGACTGCAACAAAGAGATGCAGTGGGAAAGATTTTCAATACAAGCAACTTAAATCCTATATGAATTTCTAAAATAAAATGTGATAAATAGCCTGCCTTAGTGCATCGTACATTCATATTGATAGTAAAAATAATCCTAAAAGCCATATTAGTGAACAATGAGATTCCAAAGTTCCTGATTTTAAAACAGGTAAGTAGCTGAAATTCAAGGAAGTACAAAATTACTGGGGAGTTTCCTTTCAGATAAGATGAAATTAAGCAGGTTACTCTGAGAGCTGGATGAAACCATAAGTTTAATTAATTAATGGTTCAGGGCACAAGACTTCTGATAAAGCAGACTCTTTGTGGAAAAGAAAAAACAATAATAAAATGAATTTTTACACTCCCAATAAAATTAATTAAGTACTGGTTGCTTTTAATGGGTTTTACCCCTGCTGCCTTGCCCACCCTTACCTGATTTGCTAATTAGACTACATGTCATCAAGTGATGATCAAGTCTCCTTGTAAAAGGAGTCCCTGCAGAGACTGTCTGACTGCCTTAGGCTGGAAGTTTTCAAAAACAGTTAGAAAGAGTGTAGCAAAAAAAAAGATTGAAGCTCAGGAGAAAGCAAAATGAGTGAGTACAAAAGGAACATGGATTTTTGAAGCAGCTAAGTTACTAAGATGTGGTTATAATTGTAATATTTTATTAACCTACTAACTATACAGTGAATTTTCTTTCTTCATCATCTTTATAGATACCAGTCTGTGTTCATTAAAGTGAATGGTTAAGCTTTTATGGGCCAAATTTGTAAGGTTGTTTTGACAAATAGATTCCTATTAGAATGAGGCTCCTAAATGCTATTTAAAGTCTCACTAGGTGCTAATCTACATCCCTAAGCAGTTTTAAAAGTCATCACATAATCATTTTTATTAGGTCTGTGATCAGGTCTTCATCATCCAGGCTAAAGGAAAGAGAGGTTTGGGTGATCTAAATAAAGCACAGAAGATACGTAATTTAGACAGCAGGAAAATACAGTGAGAGTTCATGAGTTCAGCTGTGGTGTTTACTTAGTTCATATATACTGGGGCTGTTCGGAGACTCTTTTCATTTTTAAAATCATTCAAGTTTGTTTGGCTACAGTAGAGAAAAACTTGTTTAAAATTAACCTGATCCATAGAAAACCAGTAGCACCTGTGGATGCCAGGTAGGCTTCAGTCTGCAGCAGAAATCTAGGGGCAAAGCAGTGGATGGGGGACAAAGGAAGGCTGAATTCTCTTCGAGCTCTGTAGTTGGGGTGATGACTCCAGCAACCTTTTTTCCTTTGTGAGCTAAATCTTTAGTGTTACTATTGAAAAGTGAATATTCAAATAAGCACTTGTAAGTTCATAAGGAATTGTCAGGTGTGGTCAATGCATGGTCAGTCCTGTCTCAGGCATCAGCACTGTAGCCCAAGGTAAGAATATTGGAACAATGCAAAGATATCGTTTTGTCTTCTGTTGCAACCCTTTCACTCCACAGAAATGTGCAAACCTAGGAATTATTGAACTGGGGACAATATCTTCCTACTTAATGACTCTTGAACAAATCATAAATAGAATAAAACCTCCATCAGCTTCTTTTTGAACTCTTTGAGTTTTCCTCTGTCTTTGGAAACCTAACCCGTGGTATCACACCTGGCACTAGCTTTACCTCTGGTGACAGGAAAAACAAATGTGATGCTACAGCCACCAGCAGAGTGACCAGGGAAAGTACAAAGGAGCTACATCACCTGCTTCACATAGGGCATTCATGTTCTAAGACCTTTTAGAAGCCCTGTGCTGGCCACAGATTTGTCCTGTTTCTGTCCCTCAGTGTCTGTTTGTCCCATGGGGTAGTCAGGAAGGTCAGGCAATCTCTGTCAGGTTAAACTTTGGGACAGCTATTGAAAACAGAGATTCTACAGAAGTGCTGGATTTGATTACCTCCTAGACCAATGAAATTAAAGCACTACTGAAGCTCCTTGGAAGGGAAGATTAAAATTTTTCTATTAAATTGAACTCCTTGGTCAAAGAAGTGGAAGATTCTAAGCAGGCAATGTATCAGTGGTTAGAGAAGGTAATTATCCTTGAGGTAGTAAGAGAAAAATCATAGCAATTGAAAGCTTTTACCCAAGAGAACAAAACTTTTCCTATTAGAAAATCTTCTAGTAGTGCCTTAGAGATTAGAAAAATCAAGTTCAAATACAGAATAAAGATGATCATGTGCTTCTCTACACTTTATACTGTGAGATCCTGTAATACATTAACCCAACCCTTCTTTTTTTTTTTCCTAGTCATTTAACATGCATTTAACAATGTAGTAAGTTGCAAGTAGGGTGTTTTTTTTCTTAGATTCTTTCTCATGGATTAAGAAACAATTTTTTTTTTTTTTTTGTGATGTGGGGAAGAGGGAGTCACGCACACATAAGGTGTACAGTTTTAGTATTCCATTTGAGAATTGATCACATTTAGATATGGTTTGGATATTCTGGTCCTGATTCTCTGCCCTTTGTACCAATTTTGTGTGGTAGCTAAATAGTGATGCTTTCACACACTTGGGGTCCCTGCCGGTAAATGTGCTTGAACCCCTACTGTCTTCATGTTGCTGAGGGGGGTCTTTTGCTTTAGTGAATACTATTTAAGTTTTTTCGCTCTGCTGATGACATCATCATGTCAAGTAGTGTCCTTTGAATTGAAAGGCTACTCCTGATCAAGCCAGTTTGTCAACTGGTTTCAGTTGTTCCACATTGCATTTCCATTACTGATCAGTTTGTGGATGGAATGATTGCCAGCTCTCAATAAGAACAACTGGTTAGTGATGTTCTTGATTTTTCTTTTTGTTCTGAACAGCAATTCTGTCATCATGGCTTAAAAAAGTTAGCATGTGTTTGTTAAGGCATATTAGCATGTCCATGTTCATGTTTTTAGCACTATCATTCTGATTATTTTATTCTGCAGAGGGTGAATGTCAATTTACTGTTTGTTCTGTCACTTTGGATCACTGGCTTAACCCTAAGAAAAGACTTTTACAGCTGAGTATTAATCACCAAATTTATGAAGGTTTAAGAGGCATGAAGAAACCAGGAAGAATTGGGTACCTTTGGAATTTATATTGCACATTTGTCTAGATCTTCATCAACAAACTGTGTTATTGACCTGTATTATTGAAAGGTAGCTTCATATCTCTGTTTCTCTCTTAATGTGCTTCTGTGCCAGGGCTTACAAGAAAATATTACAGCTGGTAACTGGCCTCTCTGGATATTTTGTTTGGAACCCTAGAACTTTAGAATCCTTTTAGGCAAGTCCTGCCCCTTTATGGACATGTACCAAGCTTCAGGGGTCTGCTGACTATGAGTGTCTGCCATGTAAATTAAACAATGTGGATTACCTGCAGTGTCTTCAGATAACTGCTGACCAATCTTAATGTTTGGTTGTCATGAGAAAATGGAAAAAACCCACATAATTATTTCATTTTCAGACCAGAGATAAGTAGGAAAGAAAAATATGATCCTGGTACTTAGTAATACAGTGAAGGTGTCTGCAAGGTGCAATTTTCCCTCTCAAAATAAGTAGCTTCAAGTAATGCATAATGAGTGTGAGCTGTGAAAGTGATGAGAGCATTGTTGAATTAATAAGGATACTCTTTCCCTGTAAATTTGTTTCTTTCATTATTTTATTCTTTCACTTATAAATCACAGGATGTTTGTTAAATATTCTTTTCTTCAAGCACAAGTAGCTTATCAAATACCATACCTAACATGCTTTGTGGTCTTTTCTGTATCTGAGGCTTAGCATAAGAAATGTCAGAAGAATAAATGTTTTATGTTAGACTTGGGGCTAGAAATATAACAGGCTTTCAGTAATGATATATGATCAGAATTATGCAAAGATGATGAAAAGATCTCAGTGGAATTTTGTTCAAAAATGTTTCCCTTATGGGAGCATCCTATGAAACCAATTAAGAATAAACCCAAGAGGATTCTATTGAATTTGTTCCAAAGAGATACTGTATGTAATAAAGAGCAATTGCTCTTTTTGTAGGTTTTTTTTTTTTAATCATCCTTCAGAAGATCATGAATAATTATACCTCTGCTAGCAA